TCTCCCCAAAAAAAAAAAAAAAAGAAATCTTATTTTTAAAGAGGTTTTTGTTATATGACACTTAGACTCGTCGGAAAGGGGGGAGAGAGAAACAGTGAGAGGGAAAGTGAGAAATCACCCTCCAGGGTGATGGCCATGCTGCAGTCCCTTCTCCATTCTCCTCCTGGGATATTGGGCATGCATGCATACATGCCCGGTGGGATTATCAAGCCACCGGGTCCAGGACTCGAACTGTGCCTGTTACTTCCTCATATTTTTTGTGTCTTCTCTGTCCTTTCTCTTTCCTTTCTGGAGCTCTGTCCACAAATCTAAGATCACTTGATTTCATTCCACAGATCATTGATGCTTTCTTCAGTTTTTTCAGTATTTTCATTCTCTTTGCTTCATTTTGCATAGTTTCTTTTATTTATTTATTTATTTATTTTGCTGTAGGGCGCGTGTGCTCTCCAGACAGACACAGAGAGAGAGAGAGACAGAAAGTGAGAAATTACCCCCCAGGGGGGATGGCCACGCCACAATCCTTTCTCCTCCATTCTCCTCTCAGGATCTTGGGCACGCACGCACACGCGCCCGGTGTGAGTTTAAGCCATCAGATCTGGGACGTGAACCACGGTCAATGAGGTGAGAGTCCAGCAACATAGCCATTACGCTAACTACTGGTCCCACATTTTGCATAGTTTCTATTGCTGTCTTTACATTCACCGATGTTTTTATTTTAATCCTTAATCTGCTGTTCATTCTTCAGATTTGTTTTTATTTATTTTACGGTTTTTGCCATAAGGTACGTGTGCTTGCTGGAGATACAGCGACAGAGGAAAAGGGAGAAATCCCCCCGAGGGGTGATGGCCACTCCTTCATTCACTCTCCTGGGATTTTGGGCACACGCGCATGTGTGCCCAGCATGAGTTTCAAGCTGCTGGGTTAGGGACTCAAACTGCGGTTGGCCATGTGGGAGTCCAGCACACTAACTACCTAATGCCACTTGCTGGCTCCTTTAATGTTTTTTTTTAAGTGTTGCATTTTCATCTCTAGAAGGTTTTTGTTGGGTATTTAAAAATATATATTGCATTTCTTCTTTTATTTTTCTCTACCTTCTTGAACTTGGTGAGCATAGTATTTATAATAGCTACTTTAGCATTCTTTTTTCTTAAAAAGGAATTATTTACTTAATTTTATTTATTATTATTATCATTAGTTTTAAATTAGCTATAGGGCACATGCACTCACCAGAGAGACAGAAAGAGAGGGAAGGTGAGAAAGCAAGCCACCAGATGTAGGACTCAGATTGTCATTGGCCATGTAGGAGTCCAGCGCCTTAACTACCATGCCACCTGCGGTTCTTTAGTATTCTTGTCTCTAATTACATTATCTCTGTCATTTCCAAGTCCGCTTTTATTGATTCCCCCCTCCCCTGCCCCCAGTTATGGGTTATATTCTCCTGTTTGAGTTTCTTGTAATTTTGCTTGGGTGCTAGATTTTTGTTTCATTCCTTTAAGTAATGTTACGCTTCGTCTGACACACAGCTGACTGCAGTCAGTTCTCACCTCACTCGGTTTGCTTGTGCGGGATCAGGGCGAGTCCAGTTGAGTCCCCGTTAATTTAGTTCCAGTGTTCAGGTGTGGCCCTCGGTGGGCCAGTGTCCTGTGCCCATAGCTTCTCTGTTCCGACTCAGGATAGCCATGGTGAGCTCTGAGAGTTTGGTCCTCTGCTTTCCTTTGGATCTTTCCTAGCCTCAGGCCATTTTTTCCTCACTCATGGTCAGGTCAGTATTTAGCCAAACCCGCGAGACTGCTGGAACTCTCTTTCTGTGCCGCTCTTTGATTTAGTGCGTGGCGAGCCGATACCAGCCACCTCAGTTTCCAGGTGCCACTCTCTGTCTTTGAACTCATTCACAAAGCTGTTTCCCTTTGTCACCTGAGAACTGCATGTGGGTAGTGAGCTGGAGCAATTAGTGTTTTGTTTTCATATTTTAAAAGTTTATTAAACCATTTCTTAAAGTACATTTAGAATATAAACCAAAGTTTATAATCTAGAATATTTCTCGGATAAGGGATTTTGAATGTTCAGAAAAATGAGTGCTAGTTTTTATCTCTTTAACTTCATTTTGATTGTCCTACATAGGTTTTCAGGCATGATACAGCTATTGGCATTTGTAGAAATATTCGGTAAATATTTTGATTTATATGTTAATGAAGATGTTATTTAATGGAGCCTATTGGTATTGAAAGGTCAAATTATGTGTTTTTTATAGGGTTCCAAATCTCCTTCACCAAGACCAAACATGCCTGTTCGGTACTTCATAATGAAGAGTAGCAATTTAAGAAACCTCGAAATTTCTCAACAGAAAGGTATCTGGTCTACAACCCCTAGTAATGAGCGGAAGCTGAATCGAGCCTTTTGGGAAAGCAGCATGGTTTACTTAGTCTTTTCTGTTCAAGGATCTGGACATTTCCAGGTGAGCCCTCCTGAAACAGTAAGATCAGATTGTTGTGGTTGTAGGTTAGACCATTGAGGATAAAAATAAACCTTGCTTTTTAGTTACATCAGAATTTGAGAATGCCTTTTGCTTGATTCACTGAGGGATATAGTACACCTCTTCAAGGGAATGATACAACTGAGATTCCCTTGTTTGTACCTTGTCTTAGCAGAGCTTTTCCAGATAAGTAATTTCCTTTCTGAAGACAGCTTTTGGTTTTCTCAGGTGGCTACTTTTGGTAAATAGGCATTCAAGTTAGTATTGGCAGTTAAGAAATTAAGTATGTTTGTTAACTCATCTTGAAATTCATATCTGAATTTACAAAATTAAGTATGTTTGTTAACTCATCTTGCAAATGAATTTGTTACTTGATATAATTTTTGGAAATAAAAGCTTAGAGGTTAGATTGTATCCATTTATTTGGTGTGAATGTGGATTTAGAACTGCTGATACATTAATAGAAACCATCTATTAATATTCAAAATTATACATAAGGCTTGAATTGGTCTTTCAAAATTTGTTAATAAACCTTTTTATAAAAAATGTATTAAGTGGCTTATTTTAAATTTTTGTTAGGTATATATTTTCTTTTTTAATTTGACAGACGGAGCATGTACTTGCCAGAGAGAGAGAGAGACAGACAGACAAAGACAGAGACAGAGAGAGAGAAAGTACTCTTCTTAGAGGGAACAATCATGCCACAATGCCTTCTCCTCTATTTCTCCCTCCTTCCAGAATTTTGAGCATGTGTGCACATGTGCCCAGCTGGAACTGGGTATGTGCTGCCAGTTCTGGGACTTGAACTGTGTGGTTAGCCATATGGGATCCAGCTGCCCAAGCCAGCAGGTCACAGGCTGGCCCACTTCCTTTCTTCTTCTTCTTCTTCTTCTTTTTTTTTTATTTTGAAATTTATAAAATGCAGATGAATCAGGTAAGTTGAATTTAAACATTTTACTATCATCCTCACCTCTACCCTTCCTCCCGTTTCACCTGCAGGGATTTTCTAGGATGTCTTCCGAGATAGGAAGGGAGAAGAGCCAGGACTGGGGTTCGGCTGGCCTAGGAGGAGTGTTTAAGGTGGAGTGGATCAGAAAAGAAAGCCTGCCCTTTCAGTTTGCACATCATTTACTCAATCCTTGGAACGACAATAAGAAAGTTCAGATAAGCAGAGATGGGCAGGTATACAATGGCATTTAACATTTTTTCTTTTACTTTTCCTTCTGTTTTGTTTTGCTGCCGTTTAGTGCTTTGAAGACAAAATGTAAGAATAGAAACTACATTTTGTAAGCATATAGTGAATAGTGGTTCATATTTGTAAAAGCGCTAGTAAAAATGTACTTGCCAGTGTGTCTGAAAGCTTGCAAATTTGTCTGAAAGTTCATTGCTTTTTATGAATTTGGCTTCTCTTGGTCGTTGACTGAAACTACAGGTCACTTTATGGAAGTGCCTATTATCTTAATAAGTGAACTCATTGTTCACACTGAGTGCAGTTAGGAGGCATTTGACTACAGTCTTAGGATGACAGCAGAATTTAGCTTCTTCCCCCTTCAGTCACAGCAATGTGCTGCATCATGGTGTTCAGGCCAACTATGGACTGTATGTCTGACCGTGGTCCTGTAAGATTATAGTAGACCTGGGTGTGTATGTAAGTCACACCATCGAGTTCGTGTGAGAACACACTCATGTTCACAACAGAATTGCCGAACGCATTTTCAGATGGAGCCCTGCGGTGGAGATACACATGACTATCAAGACTGTATGATCTTTTGATGTTCTTGTGGTTTATTTTATTTCTCTCTTGTTTGGGTTCCCCTTTATGATGCTGCTGACATGCATTTTAAGCTAGTTCAGATGGGAATGAACGTACAGTCATTCCTTGATACCTGTACAGGACTGGTACCAGGACCTGCCTACAAGTACTTAAATCTGCAGAGATGTACAAGTCCCATATATAAAATAACATCGTGTTTGTGTCTAATCTGTGCAGTTCTCCATACGCTTTATCCTCCAGATTTGCTTACAATTCCTAATGCAATGCCCACATCCCTGTGAGCATAGATTCCCCGTAGTGCCGGGACATGGCAATTCAAGTTTCATTTTTGGGGACTTTCTGGATTTTTTTTTCAATGAATATAATCCATACACACATATGTATACACACACATACACACATACATATACACCCACATGTATACTTTATTGCCAGAGTTTATGTGAGTTAACCAGAGAGTGAAAAAGTGAGACAGAGAAGGAGAGAGAGAGAGAGAAAGAACCACTCAGTAGGGTGTGGTCATCTGCAGTCTTTTTCCTCCACTCTTCAATCCTGTCCAGATATTGGGCATGCATGCACACGTGCCTGGTGTGTGGTATAAGCCACTGGGGCTGGGGTCCTAACCACGGTTGCCACATGGGATCTGGCTCCCTTAGCCGTTGTGCCACAGGCCAGCCCTGGATCGTTCTGGTCTGCAGCTGGCTGAGTGTGTGGTAGAAGCCGTGGTTGCAGAGGGAAGGCTGTATGAGCAAATACTGTGCTAGCTGCTCTATGAGATATAACTTGGTTCTTACGAATGAAATGAGTTGTTTTATGTGGGAAACTCGTTAGTTTTGCCAAAATTTTTCTCAGCTAATAGTTTATTTGAATCGATGTGACACTTTATGTTAGAGTTCTCTTTTCTCTCTCTTTTTGTAAGTTTATTTATTTCTTCCATATTAGAGAGAGAGGGGAAGGAGGAGAGAGAGAAAGGAAGAGGCAGGAACAGGCACCTCAATAGGCCACACGCTGTCGTTCACCCTGGTCTCAGCATGGGCACGTGCACAGGCCTGGCGTTCTCAGAGAGGTCTCTAGACGCAAAGCCTGCCCATTTCCCACGTGGGCCAGTTGCACTTTCCAACCGCCACTTGCTCCCTGTTGAGTTCTTTTTAAATTGCTCCTCGGAGTTACTGTGCCACAGAAGGACTATACAGTGCATTCTTTCCCATTTTCCCTTTTTTTCATAATTTTGAAGTTAATTTAAATATTGGGTTGTCAGGAAAGTCATGATGCATTTTTACATAGAAAACAGAAAAAATATGTCATGACTTTCCTGACAACCCAATATTCCTAAGATTAAAATGTAGTTATCTAAGATTTTTTTATTTAAAAAGACCCCAAAACATTTAATATGCCAGATTTCACAGTAAAGCTTCAGAAGTTCAATCTGAATGCCTTTGCTGAGTTTCCATTAAAAGCAAAATCCATTAATTCCAGATAGAAAAAGTCCTAGAAGGACTTCATGGACATTTCTTGACATTTTTAAACAGAAGTTGAAATATTTGCAGATTAACTACAGTCTTGTCTGGAAATCAACCTCCAAAGAATTAGAACAAAGAATTAGTAAAGAATTAGAGGGAACCAGCAGTTAGCGTAATGGCTATGTCACTGGACTCCCACGTAGTAGACCGCGGTTCGCGTCCCGGACCCGGTGGCTTAAAATTCACGCCGGGCGCGTGTGCGTGCGTGCCCAAGATCCCGAGAGGAGAATGGAGAAGGGATTGTGGCGTGACCATCCCCCCTGGGGGGTGATTTCTCGCTTTCTGTTTCTATGTCTCTGTCTGTCTGGTGAGCACACGCGCCCTATAGCAAAAACCTCTCCAAAAAAAAAAAAAAAAGAATTAGTACAGTACATGCTATATGATTTTAATATATTCTCACAGAAAAATGAAACTTAAAGTGATTTTTGTACATTTTATCAATACAGGAACTAGAACCTCAGGTTGGTGAACAGTTGCTCCAGTTATGGGAACGCCTTCCTCTAGGAGAAAAAGCCACAGCTGATTGACACTCAGGTTATACCGAACTTGACTTTGAGTGCTCACAGTATTTCTGACCAGTGGAGATCTTTAAGATTATTGATCTTTTTCCCCTTTCTTTCTCCTTTTTTTAATTCTTCCAGAATTTAGCTGTGGAAGAACATCCTGCCTGTTTACAACCACCAACTGCACTGACTTCCAGAAACTGAACTGCGGGTTATGGGTGGGCTTTTCTGGCTTAGAGGGTTGCTTCAGAGCCACTGTCTTCATGTTTAAGAGAAAAGGCCTATTTAAATTTGTATAGTGATCGTAGAGAATGATTACATATTGTTTCTAATGAATAAAATAGTGGTGGTTTTGCCATTGGAGAGAACAGCTGTTCCTTTAAATGTAATTTGAAGTTAAACATTTCATGTCTTTTAAAAAGTGAATTATAACTCTTGTTGAATCACTTTATAATGGAAAGTTTAAGAAAGGCTTGAATATGTCAGTACATTTGAGCTCCATTTAGGAGAGTCAGCTTCTAAGATTTATCATTAAAAAACAAAACACAAACAGCAAACCCAATTACATGAACATCCCTTTAAAAAACAGTGTGTGCTCTTTAAGGGCTATTCATTCTGCCATTTTTAATCTGAGACACATTAAGAAAAAAAGGAGGGATGTTGGTTTTTGTGATTATAAAATGAAGTAAAATCTGAAGACAGAGAGTCCCCCTCTGCCTTTGATCAGTACAGATTTCTTGCTTTGTTTTATTCCCAGTCCTGCCTCTTACCAGATTTGTCCCATGCTCCTTCCCTCTGGCCCGCCTGGCCGCCCACCTGCGTGTCTGTGTGCACCGCACTCCTCCCCCCTTCCTCTGTGGAGCAGCCTTACACATCTCTCACGTGAGCATAGTAATTATGACCTCTTTGTTTTGGCTGTAGAAACTTGACCTAAACAAGTCAAAAGTTTAAACAAGTTCACACAAGGTTAAAAATAGGCTCAGCAGTTATTGGTAGCTTTGTTGCTGTATGACCTCCAAACTAAAGCCCACAGGCACCACAGTCCAGAATGCCTTCTCGATTTTTTAGTACTTTTACCCTGACCTATTTTTCAGATACGATTTTCCTTTTTTTCTATTTCTCAGATTTTTCCTTTTCCATTTGTGGTTTAAATGAGGGATTGTTTTTGTAAACCCATGTCAGCACCAAGTCTCATATTTCTTTGCATTTCAAAATTATTTGGTTTGATCTCTTTACCACCGTCCCTCACAACTTTCCTTGGAGACTGTTTGAAAGGAAAATATAGGTACAGAAAAATCAAAGAAATACCTTTATTACTGAGCTCTAAATTGAACAGGTGTGATAGTATTTCTTAGGATTTATTTGAGTCATTATATTAAAAAGAAACCAAACATAAATCTAATTTAAAGGCAAAAAGAAAACTCTAAGTCATTTGGTTGTATGTATGAAAACAAGTGAAAAATCATGGGTCAACATAAAATCCTAAGAACCCGTCTACAGCCTCTGGGAAAGCATTCTGTATTGGTGCATTAGTTTAGAACATCAGCTGTGATTTTTGCTTGTGTTTGTAGTTACCAGTTTTTGGTTTTGTATTTTGAGACATCCTTGTACATTGAGCCTGTGTGAATTATGTCCCGTTGTATGTGTGTGACAGTGCTTTTCCTAGCAGAGCAATTTGTGTTTTCCTGATGATATATACATTTTTAAGGTATATATTTATTAGTTCACAGCGCTCTTACTTTGGGAGGACTTTTAAAAAGTAAGACTTATTTTCATTTCTATTTGTTTTCTAACATGTAACCCTGTATATACATGATGGGTTTGTTGGTATTTAAAATGAATACAATTTGAATATAATTAAAATGCTGTTTTTGGAAGAGATAATGAACTTTAGATATAATTATTAAATGAAATTATATTAAATTACTCAAATGTTATTCGTGTGTGTGTGGTGGAGCAGGGTGGGCGTGTCCTGCTATGCCACTGCCCTCTTGCCTCAGCCTCACCTAATGGGTGAGACCACAGCTGCGTACCACCATGCCCAGCTCTTTCACATCCGGTCTCTCCGTGCTGTCCATGTTGGCCACAAGCTTGCCGTTCTCCTGCGTCAGCCTCCCTAGCGGCTGGGACTACAGGTGTGCACAACTGCACCTGGCTTAAGGTAGGCTAGAAATCAACCTGGGCCTCAGCTTGCCAAGTAACAGTGTCTAGCATGTGCTACTGCAGCTGGTCTTTCCTGTTATTTATGGTACTGTAATAATAGGACTAAGGTGACAATGATTAACAATAATCTCTAGGTTAAGGTGCTGGACTCTCACGTGGCTGATTGTGGTTCAAGTCCCGGACCTGGTGGCTTGAAATTCACACCAGGTGCGTGTACATGCTGCCTAAAATACAGAGAGGCTATGGAGGAGAAGGGATTGCAGTATGGCCATCTTCCCTGGAGGGTGATTTCTTGCTTTTTATCTCTGTCTCTCTCTCTCTGGTGAGCACACGTGCCCCGTAGCAAAAATCTCTCATAAACAAAACAAAACAAAACAAAACAAAAAAACCTGCATATTTTGTTTCTGTCAACCAGTGGATCGATCCATCCATTCAGAATATATGGCACACCTGCGTTTGCCAAACACTGCTCAAAGAAAGTAGTACGTTAGACAGTTGGTTTCATCAGTCTTTTTCCCAGAGAAACTTAATGTTATTTTCCCTAACTCATTGGGAGCAGTTAATTGTCCTTTACACCAAATATATAGTATCATTTACAATGGCACATTAAAATACATCAGGTATAGCTTTTGCTGTTCAGTGGGAGCTTACATTCTTGTGGGGAACAGTTTTTGGGTGTACAGTATAGCACAAATGAATGTAGACCAAGTGTGAGCCATTTAAAAGGACAGCCATTGAATTCTTTGTGTTGCTGTTGCATTTGAACATGTCTTTAAGAATGATCAGAATTTGTAAAAGAATTAGGACAAAATTAACACCATAATGAAGAACTGGAGGACAAGGTATATTTGGGAATATGTAGTTGATGGTAGGTAGCTACCTGGTAAACTTCTGTGTAAGAGATTTACAATGTGAAATAGAATGTTTGTAAGAAAAGCTACGAAACGATCACTGTATCTACTGGATCTTAACTTTAGTGTACATTTCAGGGTGCTTATTAAAAGCCGTTGGCCCCTGGGGCCAGCAGATGGCATGGTGGTTAAGGTGCTGGATTCCCACATGACTGGTGTTTTGAGTCCCGGGTCTAGCAGCTTGCTTTCTCTTTCTCTCTCTCCCTGTCTTTGTCTGATGAGTGTTGTACCCCAGTCACGAATTCCCAAAAGACCACCAAGAAATCAATTCTGATGTAAGCACACGAGGGTCGCTTTTATTCAGGCTCGAGCCAGGACTCCCAATCTCACTGGCACAGCGGGTCAGAGTTGAGAGCCCCGGTGTGAGTTGGGCTGGGTTTTTATTTGGCTGTTAGGGGAGGAGGTCGAGGGGTGCTGAGGAATGCACTCAGGCGGCTATACATTGGCTGTAGATTTAAAGAAGCATAGTTGTCTTTTACTGATTGACAAGAAAGTTACTTCAGGTCTCTGGTATTTACTTTGTTTTTTTATCATTGGCCAGCCCCAGTGGGGTATGTTCTTATGACCTTCTCCTACATGATCGGCTCGCCTCCTTGAAATGGCACCGATTCTTAGCAAGGTGGGTTTAATGAGATGGAGTTGCTCCGTAAAAAATGGAGTCACTCTGGCCCTTCATTTCCCCCTTTTCCAAGCACATAGTGGAGCCAGTCATGGGTCCCTGCTATTGAGCTCACAGGGTCCCAGTCAGGGATGGGCTGATTCTATGGTCTCTAGTTGCTGGGCGCAGTTGTTCATGCACAGGAGTGTCTGGTCGGATGGCCTGGGCCAATGTTCACGGTATGCAGTCACCAGGTTCAATTCCTTACAGGGAGACTGTGACACAGTGCTTTTCTAGACAAAGCAAGCAGTTTACAGATACAGGACAGCACTTGGTTAGGTACTTACGGAATCAACAAAATTTCTCAGAAAACAGAAACCATATCTTTTTTTTTTTTTGAGTCTCTTTAAATATCTGTTAAGGAGAGTCACTGATAGTGCAGCTCCTGGTACACTTGGGCTGTAGGTCCAGAGGCCACTAGCATCCAATATTTAAAGACCTTTATCTTGGGGGAGACAACTTGGGTAAGAAAACTGAGTAAACTAGAGCCAAAAATCAAAATTAGAAGCACGGTGAACAGAGCACTCAACGGGAACAAGGGCCGAGGAGCCTCCTGGTACCAGAGGCCACTCTAACGTGCCATGAGTCAGCAGCAGTCATTTTTAGATGGAGGGGTTCCTCTCTTCTAGTTGTTTTACTTTATGTAACATTCAAAGATAGCACAGCCAGCTCTAGAACACTAACTTGATCAATTCTTGTAACTTTCTTAGACTTTTGTAACACAACTCAAACATTAACAACATGCTTTACACCTTTTAGTTTTTGTCCCTCTTTTCTCCTGTTCTGAGATAGCCATTCTACTTTCAGACAAAAACCTACTGCACAAAATTCCTTCTTTTTAAAAAACTTTTCCTTTTCAGCTTTTCCACTAGAAATACATTTTTACAGCCATCACCCTTCTTTCAGTTTTGTTTTGTTTTTATCTTTACAAGTTTAACATTAAAAATTGCCTTACAAACATTTATTCTATTTACATTTATTTTTTGTCTAATTATTGTTTAAGTTATTTATAGAAATAAGGCTGTTTATCTAAGATGTTTTTTGTAATTTGATTCCCAAGGGAGCCTTGCCTGAGGGATGTAGGATTTACCTGTGTGGAGCAGCACCTTTTGAGACAACACCATTGATAAGGCTATCTAGACTAGGCAGGAAGTATTTTCTCTGAACCAGCTTAGTGTAGGAGGGTGAGGACACAGTCCGAGGCAGCTACAAGAACTTTAGTTGGTGATAGAGATGTTTCCCCTCTGGCTAGGTCTTATAATTTTCTCTTTTGTCATATGGTCAATAAACCTGCTTACTGGTATTTTTTCTTATTTATTTATTTTTTATGAGTGTACTTTTGGAAACAACCTTCACCTCTGATTTAGACAGAAATTAATCTTAGTCACTTTAAGGGTTACCTGAGGCTTGTCCAGTGTTGTCAGATGTCCAAGGGGAGTCGTTGGGGTCTCGGGCTCATCAATCCTCACTTTCAAAAGCCAGCATAGACTCCAGAGGTCCAGAGCTCCTTCAGAGCTCAGTGCATTCTGTCTCGTCTCTAGTTGCCGACTCCACATTGGGAACAAGGCCCCACTGGAGGACATGAGGATGCCAGTCATGGGCATTGTTCAGTGCCCGGGCTGCCCACATTGGAAACAGAGTGTCTTCTGAAGCCGTTTCCAGATCCTGCCTCAGAGTAGTTCCCACCCTCAGGATTACCACGAGTGACTACTGGGTGGGAGTTCAATCAAAGGTGAAGGTGCCCTGCCAAGTTCGTTATAACACTTCTCTGAGTTATTTGGGAGCTTTTCTGATATTTGTTGTGAATTGTGCCTACACTGAGAAGTGAACCTAAGTTTCTCGATAGATCCTGCAAGAAGCCTCCGCTGAGTACTGTCAGGAGGGCAAAGTCCAGTTAACAGGTTTGTTTTTTTTTTTTTTTTTTTGACAAGGCAGCCCCCTTATTGCTTTTACAAAAGCTCTAGCTGGAGAATGTAGTCTTAATTTAAATGCATGTTGTATTTTTTTTTTTTTTTTTTTTTTTTTTTTTTTTTAGCTAACCCTCTTAATTATTTAGCTAAAGGGAGAGTCCAGTGGGGGAGAAGCCAGACTAAAAGAAACAGAAGTACAAAAAGACAAGGAGCTGGGGGACAAGGTAGTCTGGAGCTCTAGCCTTAACTTGTTCCACCCCATTCCTTAAGACTCTCACCCTATTAAGCTGTTAGATAGTAGTTTTCTAGCTTTTGTTTCAGATACATAGGCCCAATTTTTAATAACCATGCAAAAATTTTTTTTCTTTTACCTTGGGAAATTTGATGTTTTAAAGGAGCTATTAAGCTTGTCATACATTTATATTGAGCAAATTTTTGATTTTTGGCAACCCTAAATTTTAGCATATACCAGCATCTTATGAACATGTACAAACAATAACAAAATTTGTTTAATAACTTTTCAGTGTAAAACTGAACAATCTTACTAACATCCTCTTAATATTTTTTATAAAATTTAAAGACCAGTAATAGGAATAACTAAGGCATGTTAGCATAACAGTAAGAATTATAAGGAGGATTCAGAGGGAACCAGGCAATGATGTTTCCATGAGTCCATGTTTAACATTGGATTTATATCCCTTTACACTAATTTTATCTCTTCAATTCAGGTGCATTGCATTGGCTACTTAGTATGTAACTTTGTCAAACTTTTTTTTACTTTTCTTTGGTCAATTTTGGCTTAACAGTTTAGAAAACCAATCAGTTTACATAGAAAATCAAGATTTTACCCAGTTGAATTATTAGATTTTTAAAGAAACCTGTACTTGTAAATTTTCTTTTTATCCTCTTTGCGAACTTCCTTAAGGACATAACATTAGGATTTTAGCTATAGTTAATACTCTGACAAAAATTCACAACTGACAAAAGAAATTTGGCTATATATGCCAGTTTAACATAATAGTGTACCTTAACTCCTGGGAATCTCAAATTATTGTGGAACACAATGCATATATAGGCATACAAGTACATAACATTTATACTTCAAATATAATATCAAGAAAATTAGAATTACTTAATTTGACAATGCTTTCCATTTTTATCCAACATATCAACAGTAAGCCTGATTGGTTTAACATCTCCCTTTTGGATGTTTCAGGGGTCCTCTGTAAACATCCCAGAGTTACTGTGAGGTCAGAGATCTTCTGTTAACATTAAAACTAAAGCAGAGAAAACTAGTCATGAATTCATTTCCCTATTAGATATCTGCTATGTAAAATGCAACACACAAGACATAAATAATAGCTGTTTCATTAAACTAACCATATTAAGATAAACGTGATGTTGCTTGAGCAATAAAAACCTAGACAAAATATATGTTGGGAATTGTGAAGACTTTCACTTATTAATCTTTTTCTTTGATTACACTTAAAGCCTGCTCATTCACTAAAGTTATATGAACTTGAAAAGCATTTAAACTAATTTGTATGAGTGCTCTTTTTATAAACTAAATTGAATAGAATTCTTTAAGGCCTTTTTTTCCCACCCAGACATACAACATGCAGTACATAACATGACAAATTACATATATAGATGCACACAGACATCAGGACTGTAAGAGCCAATCTCCCTGGGGTTACTTTGACACTAATACTCTTTAGAGCAACCCCCTTTCTTGAAATTTTTAATTATACACTCAAGGAAGGTGGGTTTTAACCTTTTGTTGCCTATACTATTAGAGTTTTTACAACACAAATATTCTTGATATTTCTACTCCCATTTAAGTGTGATGTTTTTAAAAGGCCCTCTCAGTTTTGAGATGGAGAGTTTGATGCCATAATCACAACTTTCCACACATGCCTCATTGAAATGCTTAAGCCTGCATTCTAAGGGACTTTAAAGGAGCTGTTCCCGCCTTTCATGATTTCTAAAAAGGTAAGTATGCTCTTTGGTCAGGATGTACCCTGAGGCATTCCAGGACCCTCCTGCCTTTACCCACACCTCCTATGGCCACAGGCAGTTTTCAGCAATAGTACTCTGACTGTACGGACCGTCAGTTCTTGAAGAACTCCTTGGTCAATATTCCGTTACTCAACATCCTCAAGTGAGGAGGAGGAGGGATAGAACCAAGTGATGTTTTCCAAGAGGGTGCAGAGGAAATCATTAAAATGGCAGAATTAACAAAAGAAATCCGTACAAAAATTCTAAGATATCCAGGGACTCAAACCCGGGAGTCACACCTCCCAGGGACTCATTCCTGTGCCGCAGCCATAGCTGTGGGACCACAAAGAGTCACACAGTCATTTGCTCATCATGCACACAACAGACTATTACATTCCCTCCCACCAATCCAAGAGAGCATGGAGAAAATAAGGACAATGACAGTAAAAGCAGAAGAAACCCATAAAAAAAGACCCTGAAACTTCCAGAGACTCAAACCCTGTTAGGGACTCTAACCCTGATTTCCCACAGACTGTCTAAGGGCTAGCAGGGGGGACTCGAACCCTTTACCATCTAGCCCCCAGATTCCAGCATGTCTGGTAGAACCTAAGTAGGGGTTCTATAACTGTCCGTTCAGCCTTGAATCCAGCCACCTGCAGAGGGACTCAAACCCTCAACCCAGGGATTCAATTCCTGTCAGGGACTCTAACCCTGATTTCCTGCAGGTTGGACTTTCAGGGGCCTTCCAGAGGCTCAAACCCTGCCTGGGATTCCCTCCCTGTTCTGTGGTCAACCCCTTACTCACTGGTTTGTCTTTTACTGAGGCAGATAGAACAGGACAGGAACACTCAAAGAAATGCCTGCGAAGGTCTTAGAGCAAAACTCCACAGACTTTTGGAGGAGCAGTCAGCATCTCCTGTCAGCTGCCAACAATCCTGAGAGGCGCTCCGGGGCCCTGGGAAATCCCAGGTGGTACCTCCCCTAGAGCAGTCCCGGGTAGCCGGCAGCCAGGCCAAGTGAGGCCGTTCTCCCTAGGATGCCTCACCCATGAACCAGACAGGTACGCAATATGGCTGGGGGCTCTTAATGTTTTAATATAATCACCAAGACGACTACGTGGGAGTCCAGCGACATAGCCATTACGCTAACTGCTGGTCCCAAAACTCCACAGACTTTTGGAGGAGCAATCAGCGTCTCTGGTCAGCTGCCAACAATGCCAAGAGGAGCTCCAGGGCCCTGGGAAATCCCAGGTGGCACCTCCCCTAGAGCAGTCCCAGGTGAGGCCGCTCTCCCTAGGATGCCTCACCCCCGTACCAGACATACGCGATCTCGCTGGGGCCTCCAAATGTTATAATCTACTCAACGAGAAATAAGAGGACATCCAGACAGAGCCAAATTTATTGGAGTTTATTGATTAAGCCAGCGAGAATTACTTGATTTACAAGGACGAAGGAACAAAATGAAGGGGCTTCAGGGGAATAAGGGAATAGGCTTTCTCTGCCTTTAAAGCAAAAAGAAAAGCTGGTTACAGAAGCAAAGCAAGCAGGTTAGTCATTCCTGAGGGCATGTTCTGATCACAATGGAATTATAATGGCTCCCCTGGTTCCAGACAGGGCAGGTTGGTCATTGATTGACCCTTGATGCACCTGGGAGTGGGGCTTCTGTTTCTTAATGTCTAGACTAAGGTCATGGGCCCTGATTCTAAAGTCCTTGAAATGGTCCATCATAAGCGTCAGAGGGGAAGTCTGAGTCTGTCCCATTTCCATCAGAAAAACGTACACACAAACAGAGATAGGTAATGAACACACAGGACAAATGCAGCTGGGCAGATGCTCTTCACCGGGTGAAAAGCAAACCTAGAGTGGGACTATGGCCTCATGTCGTGCCATGGGAGTGACCTGCTATGTCCCCTCAGAGAACTCAGAACAACTAGGGGCACTCTGTCCCCTCCAGGGGGGTCTGGAACATCTTCCAGGCCCCTGGATCAGTGGCCCGCCAGCATGTCCACTGGACCAGTTATGATCTATTACAGAGTTAGGGCCCTCAGAGACCGAACAGGATAAACACAGAGACAAAGGAAACACTCACTGGCCATGATTAGTCCACCCTCCGGTTCGGGGATCCTGGGGGTCTTGGGGAATCCTGGATGAGCCCCTAAATGTTGTACCCTGCAAATTCCCAAAAGACCATCAATGAGCTGATTCCGATGTAAGCACATGAGGGTCGCTTTTATTCGGGCTCGATTCAGAACTCCCAATCTCACCGGTATAGCAGGTCAGAGTTGAAAGCCCCACGTGTTAGTTGGGCTGGGTTTTTATTTGGCTGTTGAGGGGAGGTCGAGGGGTGCTGAGGAGTGCACTCAGGCGGCTATACGTTGGCTGTAGATTTCAAGAAGCATCGTTTTCTTTTACTGATTGGCAAGAAAGTTACTTCAGGTCTCTGGTATTTTTTCTTTTTTTCTTCCTTTTTTTTTTTTTTTTTTTTTTTATCATTTGCCATCCCCAGTGGAGTGATGGTTTTATGACCTTCTCCTATGTGATTGGCTCGCCTCCTTGAAATGGCGTAATTCTTAGCAAGGTGGGTTTAACAAGATGGAGTCACTCCTTAAAAATGGAGTCACTCTGGTCCTTCAGTGAGCACATGTGCCTATAGCAAATTAAAATAAATAAATAAATATAAAAAAAAAGAAAAAGTACCCGGGCCCCACATGGAGTAGGCATTCGGTGTCTGTTGTTCCTCACATCAGAGCAGTTTTGTGACAGGTCTCAGGGATCTGCATGGTCAACAGACACGTGAAGTGCTGCTAATTCAAACAGACAGTGGCTCATATTGAAGCAGATTAACAACACAAGAAAGTATCTTTATGTGCTGTAAAATTGACATGGCACCAACATGAGATATCTGTCTTATGCAATAGAATGGTATAGGTGATTGGAATACTGAAAGCAGTGGTATTTAATGAAACATTGATCTGTTTAGCAAGAGGTACCACGTGAAATCAAGGAAGACCTTGGGTCTTAAAGTCAGGGTACCAGAAAGCTCTAACGCTCACGAAAATAACAAATTACTTAACCTCTCTGACCTCTAACTTCTCTGTTTGAAAAGTTAAAATATCATCTTTCCTATCTCATGTCACGGTCATTAGAAGGACCAAATGAGAGTACTTGGAAACTGAACATTACAGAAGCATAAATAAATACCTAGTGTTACCTGCCTAATAGTGTCCAACACACAGTGGTCACTCAGTGTAATAGATCTTTAATAGATTTTTTTTTGTTTAATTAGTACGTGGGTATTTGGTTTCTGTTATACCCTGGGTACTGCTGCCGGCACTAGAGTAAGCCATGAGCAAATCCCTCCTTTCATGGAGCTCTTTTTTAATGGAGTATGTTCTGATGCTCCCTTGAATCCCCTCATAACATGGAGGGAAGTGTACTGCATGTACAATGACGAGAAGACAAGTCTTGCTGGAGTGTTGATGCAGATGAAGAGGCCTCCACCAGTATATTTGATAGTCATCAGATGGTATGTAAATCTGTAATTTTAAGGGACCAGCAGTTAGCGTAATGGCTATGTCTCTGGACTCCCATGTAGTCGATTGCGGTTTGAGTCCCAGACCCGGTGGCTCAAACTCACACTGGGCACGTGTGCGTGCATGCCCAAGATCCCAAGGGGAGAATGGAGAAGGGATTGTGGCTTGTCCATCCCTCTTGGGGGGGTGATTTCTCACTTTCTGTTTCTCTGTCTCTGTCTTTCTGGTGAGCACATGCTCCCTGTAGCAAAACAAAAACAAAAAAACATAAAAACTTAACATATACCAACTGTCTACACTCTATGGTAGAGACTGAAAGACTGGAAGACATAAAAGTATTAAGGATTGTTATGGAGGGACCAGTAGTTAGTGTAATGGCTATGTCTCTGGACTCCCACGTAGTCGACTGTAGTTCGCGTCCCGGACCTGGTGGCTTAAAACTCACGCTGGGCGCATGTGCACGCGTGACCAAGATCCTGAAAGGAGAATGCAGGAGAGGGGATTGCAGCATGGCCATCCCCCCCCGGGGGAGGGGTGATTTCTCACTTTCTGTCTCTCTATCTCTCTCTGTTTTTCTGGTGAGCACAAGCACCCTATAGCAAAAACCTCTTCAAAAAAAAGAAAGTAAGAAATCACCCCCACCCCGTCCAAGGGGGGTGACTGTGCCGCAATCCCTTCTCCTTCATCCTCCTTTTGGGATCTTGGGCATGCACGCACACCTAGGAGTGGAATTGCTAGATCATATGTTAGTTCTGTTTGTGGGTCTTTGAGGAACTTCTATATTCATTTTCCTCTTGGGATTGTGGGCATGCACATGCACCTGGAATAATTTTTCAAGCTGCCAGATTCAGGACTGAAACTGATCAGTGACCCATGTGGGATCCAGTACCTCAACCACAACAGCATGTTCTTAAAGCCTGTGTCTAAGACTACTTGACTTTGAATAAATGTTTCTATGTGGGAATGCCATGGAGATTTGGATAGAGATTGTGTTATCTCTAGATTACTTTGGGCAGTGTGGACATTCTAGCAATATTAATTCTTTCGGCCTGTGACCATGGGATATCTTTCCATTTATTTGTGTCTTCTTTGATTTCTTTTATCAATGTTTTATAATTTTCATGTACAGATCTTTTGCCTCTTGGTTAAATCCGTATTTTGTTCTTTTTTCATACTACTTTCTTATTGTTTTGTTGTTTTGATGGATCATTTTCTTAATTTCTTTTTTAGATATGTAGTGTATAGAAAAGCAACTGATTTTTGCATGTAAAATGTGTATACTCTAACATTAATGAAATTGTTACTTCTAACGCTTTTTGTAAAGCCTTTAGAATTTTCTATCAAAGGATAATGTCTGTAAACGGAGACACTTTTACTTCTTTTTTTTTTTTTAATTTGGATGCCTTTTATCCTTTTCTTACATACTGCTCTCGCTGGAACTTCCGGTACTATGTTGAATAGGAGTGGTGGGAGTGGGCCTCCTTGTCTCACTCTGATATTACAGGAAAAGCTTCAGCTTCCCGCTGCTGAGCAGAATGGTAGCGATGGGCTTGTCCTATATTAATGCGAGTTGGCCTTTGTTGTGTTGAGGCATACTCCTTCTAATTTTTTGAGAGTTTTTATCATAAAAAGAATGTTAGACTTGGGGGCCAACAAGTGACATAGTGGTTAAGGTGCTGGACTCCCACATGGCAGGTTGTGGTCCAAGTTCCAGACCCGGTAACTTGAAAATCACACTGGGCACATGTGTGTGTGTGCCCAAAATGCCAGGAGGAGAATGGAGGAGGAGGGACTGTGGCATGACCAGCCCCCTGGAGATCATTTCTCACTGGGTCTGCCTCTCCCAGGAAGTGCACACGCCCTACAGCAAAAACTTAAAAAAAAAAAAAAGCTGAATTTTGTGAAATGCTTTTTCTACATATCCAGAGATGATCATATGACTTTGTCTTTCATTCTGTTTGTGTGATGTATCACATTTATTGATTTGTATATTTGTATCATATTTTTTGATTTGTATTTATTGTTGAATCATCTTTGGATCCCATGGCAAATACATTTGATCATAGTTTATGACCCTTTTAATGTGCTGTTGAATTTATTTTGCTAGTACTTTGTTGAGATTTTTACATCAATGTTCATCAGGAATATTGGCCTATAATTTCTTTTCTTGGAGTGCTCTTGTCTGACTTTGGTATCAGGGTAATTATGGCCTTGTAAAACGAGTTTGAAAGTGTTTTCATCTTTTCAGTCTTTAGAGAAATTTGAGAAGAACTGGTATTAGTTCTTTAAATGTTTGGTAGAATTCAATAGTAAACATATCAGGTCTTGTTTTTTTTTTTTAAAGGAGAGATTTCTCTTTTTTTTTTTTTTTTTTGAGAGGTTTTTCACTATAGGGGGGTGTG